ATCTCTGTCAGCTTATTTACAAGCATGTGTCTGTCATTCAGTTCAACTATCTACTTATCTATCTATCCACCCATCCGCCCATTCACTCTCCCATCAATCCATTACTTAAAGCTTGAGCAACCACTCCTCACTCCTTGCGCCGTTCCAAAATTTGTTTCAAAATGTGTTATGCAGTTAGGCACCTTGACTATAATACGCTTGGGTTATCAAATGAGTTAATCTGGGGCTTTTCCGTGTTTTAAGTTCATTGGGGAATGCCAGACAACGGTTCCATGTTCATTTTGATCTTCAGGTACCGAAATGCAAAAATGGTAAATGACCTTTTCAGTGGACATAGTCCTGATAATTAGTGAAAATATTTCTTCTGTGATAAATTTTGTACAGAATGGGCCAGTTTACCACAGAAATTAACTAGTGAAATAGAGTGTTCATAAGACCTTGGACCTAAAAAAAAAAGGCGTATCGCAATGATAGTCTTTTCATGAAAACAAAACCAGGGTATCACGCTGATTTAACTTAAAACATTAGAAGATATGCCTTCTCAAGGGCATTCTACTTCCCTTGGGTTAAAAAATCGCTTTTCCTGGTTCATCAGGTACTGTGTTCCTACATAAAAAGTGAGAATAATTAGTTCAAACCATTCAAAACATAAAACACAAAAACGTGTTGTGAGTAACCCTTATTTATTTGCAAATGGTAGGTAGATTATTAAGTTTCTCTCTCTCTCTCTCTCTCTCTCATACACACACATTTTGTTACTCTTGTGATGTTATGTCACTCCCTTTTAGGTCAAAAACTTTGACTGCTTTTTCTTTCAAAATTTAAATGACCTGTCTAGTCGCTATTTTATGAAATTATGGTCGTCGTATTAAAGACTTCATGAAAAATTTCAAACAAGACAATGAAAAGAGAAAGTAATTGAAAAAAGTATGGACCGAATTAAAGACCTTTCTTTGTCTGTAGACTTTAGGCGACGAATAAACGATTTGACTCGTGTTAAAATTACAATTGTTGTTTTACCATGTTGCCTTTATGTAATTAGGCTTCGGTTTACTTTTTTTCTTTGCTTTCCCTCTAAAAAGCCTCCGCCTTTCAGCAAATTTGAACCTAGAAGCGTTCTTTCCCTTTTTCTTTTTAACTGATTGGATTAAAGTTCCATGTGAACTTAATGGACCGAAACAACCCTTCTGGTGAAGTTTTCAGTAGATGGTTAGTCCATGTTCACTCCTGTCAACGTTCGGAACACTGAGTTAGTTTTAAAAAAACCATCACTGACAAAGGGTAGAGTGGCAGCACAGGTGAAAGAGTTGTTTAACACTGAATAACAGGAGCAACGAAACCTGCTCTCTTACACGACTAGCGTCAGCATTCAGTTAAAGAAAAACCGTCTGATTCACGCACATGACTTGACTCTGCGTAATGTGTTAAGTTTTTTAAAACAAACAGGCTATTACACTTACATGTGGAGGCCCAGTGCTGAAGTGCTCACATTTTACCTATGGCTCTTTTCGAGTTAACACGCCCATAGTACTTGTAGATTCACAACATAAGACAAAATAAGCTTGTAGGGTATTAAGGCAGTGACAGGATTCTGTGTTGAAAATAGTGCCAGAAAGTTTTTACATAGTAATTTGAGACTGCCTTTGAGCATTTTGCAGAAGAAAGTTCCGCCCGTTTCGAAATGAAAAATGTTTAACACAAGTTTTTCGTCTGAGGTAGAAACTCATTTAATGAAACTTCACGTTTGTTTTGGGGAAAAGATTTTAATAGCAATGTCTTTTTGTTTAAAGTCACCAGAATGGGGTTCATGTATTTGCGCACAATCGCTTTAGAATGACAACAGAGCAAGACTGGTATACCACTGGCATGTACAATCTGCGATAATCTTTTGAACAGTGCCAAAATGAACAAAAGTGCACAATAAAACTATTTTGTGTCCATTTAAAAAAAAAACGCTATCAAAATAAAAGAAACAAATTTTTATAATTGGAAAGGAAACTCGTCAATCATTTTTTTTCTGTTACACTTCCTTCATTTTCTTAGGCGATTATGGGATCTTACTGACCATTACATCCATTGCTTTATCTTTCAAAATTAATAACGTTTCATGTGTGGATACCGTATGCTTTATAGGGAAATCCAATGTGCACTCGTGTGTTTACAGTAAAGGTGGGTCAGGTAAATAGGAAACAATTAAAGGATATTCTTTCGAAGACCACCCTGATTTTACCGCCAACCGCCACATCTAAAGCTTAAGAGGTGTAGTACTTATCTGATTCATACAAGAAATATATGCTTATTGACAAGCATAACCGAGGCGATGTAATAACTGACAGATTGGATTACTGATTATCAAAACAGGTAAGGTACATATCGTGCATTTCTTAAAAAGATCCTAGTCCACAGTCACCAAATCACTTTTTAATAACTGGCATAAACACTGGGGTGTATAGTTTACTGCTATGGAGAAAACTGGAAAAGGGGCGTTGTGATTCACAGAATGACATAAAATAGACCTACTCCTCAGGGACTCCTTCCCATCACTGATACAACAGTTTAAAACGTACTAAAGTACGAACGAAGACACGCTTGTTTAAATAATGCATAAGATCTAACATTTGACGTCAAGGTCCCTGACGTTTTATAGCGGTGCACCTGTCAATTAACCTCTTGTATTTATTTTCTCCGTCACACACTCTTGCAATTTACATTCTTTAGGCATAACTAGTCCAAATGAAATCTAACAAATTTATTTTTATTAACTCTAAGAACAAATAAAAATTTTACATAAGACACTCACATCACTTCTAGATGAAAGAGTTACCTACCTTTAAAAATCGTAGAAAAGGCCGCTAGGGCAGCTTAGAGCCTACTGCAGGTTTTGTTCTTGTGTAATATCTGTTTTTTCGCCACCGGAGAGGCCAATTTAATAACTCGATTAGCACGTGACAAAAACACACAAGCACGTGCCACACGAGTCTCCTAACTCAAAAAACACCCCTTAGCACGCCCCAGAGTGTACATAACCGAGAGAATCAATTTTAGACGCTTGTCTACAATTTTTTGCTGTCGGTCAAAAGTTCGTATAGCTATTTGTCAGGTTATTCTGGGACCACATTTTCATACCTTCCACACTGGTTCTGTTGAAAGCATTAGATGTATGTCTTCGTGCATGTCATATTTCCACAAAGAAGAAACAATCTCTCAGATGGGTCTGCAGTCTTCGGTTTGTAGAAAAATAATTCGCTAGAATTCTTGAGTAAATAATAATAATAATAATTTTACTGAGCACAGAAATAATTTTACATTTAAAGGCTCTCTGACTATAATATATATATATATATATATATATATATATATATATATATATATATATATATATATATATATATATATATATATATCTTGTATAGGCCTATGTGTGTGTGTGTGTGTGTGTGTGTGTGTGTGTGTGTGTACATGTGTGTGTGTGTGATAATAGTAATGAAATGTTAAAAATAGTGTTATACAGTATAGGCCTACATTATAAAGAGATACGAGTAAAATGAGTGAGATCCTTTGTCTATTTGTTTCCTATTATTTGCGTTTTATCATTACATTAGGCCTACTTATAAATTTCGCCACGGCAGTCGTATCCTGGGCAGAGGGTGGATTTAGGATGGTCTCAAGGTGTCTGCAAGTTTACATCTGGTATAGACTCAAAGAGTAATTTTCTTTCAACTTCGATCATGATTGTTACATTCAAGAAAAAATGTATCTCATCTTCCACCCGGTAACAGTGGGGACATTTTCGATCTGACATTTGTCTTGGGATTTGTGTATCGCCCTCTTTCAATCTCTAGGTCGTAATTACTGATTCGCATTTTTGCCAAAAGCTTTTTTGTGGGTAGTGGGATATTAATTTTTAAGTATGGTTTAGGCTCATAGTGCTTTTTAATATTTCCTCTTTGCAGAACTCCTCCCAAAACTCTGATTTTATTTTGTAGGCTATTTCATTCTCTAGATTTTGGTGATTGTAGATTTTATTGTCAGTTGTGGTTGAATTTGAGTGATTTAGTTCCCAACATGAAGCCAAATTTGACGTTGCCCAAATCCAGTTAAGGAAAAAACCCGATAATTGGCATACCCTTTAAATTGTCAAGAAGACGAGAATATATTGCCCATTTTATTTATCTGAATATCGGCATACAGCTCAGGTTTCTTGTTTTCCTTTTGGAAAAATTTTCCCCAAACCCGAGACGATTTTCCCATATTACAATTCACAACAAGGGAGGATCGAGGATTATTTGAAGTGTGTGTGTGTGTGTGTGTGGTGTGGGGGGGGGGGGGGGGTTTAGAACGCCAAGCCTCGGATACGAAGCCGACCATGCTCAAAGGTCCCCAAAATTTTTTGGTGTTTTGGAGGGCAAACGGTGATTTTGGTATTGTTTAGAACTATGACTCAGCTAGCTAAAATTCTAATTTCAAGAGGGGAATATTGGTGTGATATATTTTTCAGAAACCGAAGGGGGGTCAGGACCCCCTGATCCCCCCCTCTAAATCCGCCACTGCACAACATTGTGTTTTATTGCTCTGTCTCCCTTTCGTGCCGTGTAAATATCACAGTTACTCTTTTGATATTCGTGGATGCACCAGTGTATTAAAATGGAGAGGAAATAGCTACAAAAATCGAGCATTCAACACTGACACCACCCCCCCCCCCAAAAAAAAACAAGAAAAAGTTGACCTCCCGTCAAAATTGGATTGCATTAGTTGAGACGGGTCTCGGTTTCACATGAATGTGCCATACGAAGAGTCTACTTCAATAGGTAAAACAGGATGTAATAAATATAACTTGTATTAAATTTGGTCTCCAAATATTATTATATGTCTTTAAAAAGTGACGTTTTCTTAAAAGTGTATCCTGATTGAAAACAGTTTTGAGTGCATATATGTTGGCATGTTGAAATTTAAAATAGTTCAGTGAAGCATAACTTTTCCACCCCTCTGATTTAAGAATACCCATAGTCTATAGTTGACTCACTGTTCAGTGCGATAGATAGCCCGAGTTTTTTGTTTTCTTGTACGCGATCAGTTAAAACTTTAGAAAACAACGAAGGTCTACCGTGACGGCTCTCAGATGCGGGCCTCATATTTTTTAGCAGTCCTCGGACTTCTCTTCGTACTGTCGCTGGCGAGTGCGAAGAACCACAAGCACAAATCGCAGGACAAATCCCGAGTGGTCTTCGACGAGAAACAAGATGGCGAGCTTTTTCGTGGACACCACGGCAAGAAGCATAAGCATCCCCACAAAGGACACGGTAGAGGGCTTGATGGACACAAGCCAGTGGTACTATTTTACTTTGATTGCGAATTTATTTAAATTATTAATACACCAAAGTTTAAATAGCAGCTAGCAATTGATTTAGTGATGGAATAAGCAGTGGAACCTTCGTCGGTACTTTAACGTTAAGAATATCTAGCTCAGATTTTTAACCCACTAAAGAAAATTTAGTAAAGAGATTTGAATTATGTAATATCACAGTTTTGACTTGATGTTTCCTGGGACAGTTTTTATGTTTTAATGATGTTTGGGTTGATTTTTTAGAAGGAGAGCAGGGACAGCGTTTACAAAGAAGAATGGAAGAAAATGACTAACTATGACACATCTGGGTCCAGTAAGTACATCTTAACGTTGACTGAATTCTGTGTTCCAAGGCCCTTAGACCACATAGATATTGTTAGTCAACTAGAATCAGAGAAAAAGAATATTTAATACTGATAAATCTTTGATAGACATGCTGCAGTTGAAATTATCAGGCAGTGGACTAATTTTAAGGCCAAGAGAGCCAGGATACTTTGTAATATGTTTTGATGACACCCCTCCCCGTATAAGCCTGCATTTTTTTACTTTTGTGTTAAATTTGCAAAGCTTGGGGGAATTCTTCAGTCTCTTGTGTGCTTTTATACATTTGCTGAACATGTTAGATGTCATAAAGGTTTTCTGATATATGTTGAGTGTGGCATGCATTAAACTATGTACTATTAATAAATTTGATCAGGTTTGGGATCACAGTGTAGTCATGTTGAGTAAAGAGATTTGCCTTATCTAACTGTCAGCTTGATTTGTTGCTTTTTATGCTATGCGTGGAGCCAGAGGTTAGTGGAAAGGTAAACAAGGTCACAACTGGATCATTCACAAGATTATGTGCACATGTTTTGCTTAAGCACTAGAATCAAAATAAATACAGAAAACTTTTTATATCGGAGTGTTCGCAACTGCTTAATTCAAACAAATATGCACCAACACCTAATAAAATACAGCTTTAATAGGATTGTTTTCTATATGTAAAATGTCACCTGAAATCACCAGACCTGTAGTTAACATAATCTACCAGAAAAAGAATGTATTTTATTTACAAGAAGTAAGAGTGTATGTGTAACAAAGAAAGTTCCCAATTTTCAGAAAGGTGCCATTAATTAGGTTTTCATGTTGCCATTTTAAACTGGTGTGACAATGGCCAAAGAAAATAAAAAAAGGTAAAGATTTGAATGAATACATTGTGTAGCATCATTCAGATAATGGTTTTGAGGTGAGATAGCTGATGAGAATACTTTCCGTTTCAAGGGAGCATCACACAAAGTTTGTGTATGACAAATTCTTTGGTCTTAACTGTTGTGCCCTTTTTATCTTTTATTTCACCCCTGCACTTGGCTGGGGGAACCAGCCTGTGTCTTGGGTCTTTGTAAACTTCATTCTTCTTAAGAATAGAGAATGGTTTTATAACAGCAAAGTTATTTCAGTACTTACTTGATGACAGTCCTACACTGTGTGCACAGTGATATCTTGTAGCTCTGGATGGTGAAAAAAAAAACTGTTTGTCTCTAGATGTTAAAACAACTATCATATTTCAGTTGTCAGATAAAGAGAGATGAATTAAAAAAAAACCTGAAATACATCAGATCCAAGTTAAGTCATTTCTAGAAGAAAGATTGTCACCTGAGGAATGTTATAAGATAGTATCAGTAGAAGTCTGGTGGCTTTGTGATGACTGCGGTAGGATTGTGATGAATGTGTCTCCTGAAATGAGTTTACCCACCCACTTTCAAACTGTATGTAACGTGCAGAATGGTTTGATGATTGTATTTTGTGGAAATTGTCTGGTGCTGTTTGAAAAGGAAAAAAGAAAACAAAGTGGTTACCTGAGCATCGAAGCTCATGGATTTGAGTTATCACTGTTTATTCAGTCTAAATACCTTTGGGGAAAATTTCTTTCAGCAAACAAGTATCAATAGATCAGCAATCATCCATTTTTGTATAGGTCTTTTACACTTTGGAGGTTTCTTTTGTTATCTGTTCATTTCGTGGAAAAAGCACTCTATGAAGTTTGTCATGCTCTACAAGATTCATATTAAGGCTAATGTATCTGCTTTATGTAATATGAACGATGTTGACTATAAAGTATTTCAATTTGAATTTAATATTTTCCCTTCACTTTTAAACAGTAGTAGCCTTTCCCTTTCTTTCAAGAAGAATATAGGTATAGAATGTAACTGCCAGACAGTCAAATGTATTTCCTGCTCAGGTCTTTGACACAACCAAGAACTAATGGGAAAAGGAATTGCACGTTTTGAATTGTGTCTTGCAGTCAAGATTTGACTGCAGGGCCATATCTATAGATCATTCAAACTTGAAACTGGCTGTAGAATTTGTGCCTCTGAACCAAGCAATCGGATATTGTTATCATTAATTAAAGAGAGAGGAATTTTTGTGAGATGGCTACCTGTATGTTACTACCAGGAAGAAATGTACATGCAAAAGCTTGTCATGGTAATGGCTCAGTCATTTCAACCAGGAAAAATTATCACTATTTTAGATACATAATTTAATACATTTATATGTAGCATTTTGGTATAGGTAGTCTGCTTTTTGATCCCACATTCATCAGCAAGAACTGTTGGGTCCATGCCAACCTGCCTAAGCCCCTTAGCCATTCTATCCGCTTAAACCATGGACCCACATACCACTCAATAGGAATGTTCTAATTGTAAGAATTTATTACTTAAAAATACAGAATCTTTAAAATTCATAATTTTCCTGTTTGAAATGATTGAGCCATTACCATGGTGTGTTATGAACCCGACTTGTTATGGATGACAGGTGTAATCTTAAGGTAAAGCAGATGGAGTTATCTCAATAGCTATTGTTAAGTACATCATTTTTTAGGTAGAGTGCTGTTGCACAACTTTAATATAATGGCCAACATTGCACAGCTGTAGGCTGGCTGAGGACAGTTGCACTCATCTATGCCGGTTGCTCCTTTTCATGATGAGTATTAGCTCAATGATCAGCCAGTAAGTTAAACTGATGACGTCTTTACAGGTGCTGCTTGCAAGAGACTCAAGTGCAAGAAGCATCATGTATGCCTGTTCAACAAGGACACCAAGCAGGTCATGTGCGTGGCAAAGAGGGATTTACGAAGGATGTAAGTTAACACTACCCCCTTCACCACACACCTGATCAGTTGACTTTGTTTAGTGTAAAAACCTTTCATAATGCTTATAGTGGCCTGTGTCTATGATAACTACGGGTTTTGAAAACTTAGGTGCAATGTTAAAACAGTTAAGTTTTTTGTATGTTTGAAATAAGTGGTGTTTTTTTTATGTAAGAAAAGGTCAGTTATTTACATGGTTCATTTGTTTGCATAATATTGCAGTTTACTTTCTTTATTCACTGATTTTAGTTCCCGTATGAGAGCTGTTCAACATACCAAATTGGAGGTGGAGAACAAGATTGAAGACATTCTTAAAGACATAAGAGTATGTTTTTTTTTTGTTTTTTTTTTTTTTGCTTGAATGGCTTGAACTGGTATGCCAGCTTAAAAGATAGTATATATATATAATATTCTTATTACTGATTGAAAAGAGTCCATTTTTGTAAAATATTGACTGACATGATTGCCTTAAATAAAATATCTTCTAACGAGTTGCACCTCAAATCATTAAAGGTTATTTACATTTGATTATCACTTTAATTCAGAAACCAGAAAATGAAGTGCAGGCAAAACATATGAGGAAGGTTTTTAAGGTAGGTAGAATACTAGGCAAAAACTGATGTTATTTTGAAGTCAACACAACTGTATTCAGTTACACAGTAGATATAAGTACATGAAAATGTATTTTATTTATAGCATCCATGTAATAGTTTTAGTATTTTTCTTTGTGTCACTTCTATGATATATATTATTTCAGGACAAGAAGGACCATGTTCAGGTGGCATTAGATGTTGTGAAGTCAAAAGATGCACCCAATGTCCACATTGAAACCCACATGGAACATTTGAAGCTCTCTCATAACAAACATGGCAAGCACAAGCACATTAAGGAAGTGATGGCTGGAAAAGAGAAGCCAGTTTTACTCGGTAATTAAACAATTTTTGAAGAGTGCAGCATTTTGATATCATAAGTAGCAAAAGTTGTTTTAAGCGCTTGTGCTTCATTATAGTTATTATGACAACATTCCATGTTATTGACTTCTTGTCAGGCACTGATTAGAACTTTCACTCACCTTTACATAACCTCTCCTTTTCTGTGATCTTTTGCTTGAGAAATCATAGATTGTTTTAAAAGTGAAAGTTAGATATAAAAAATATTTAATTATTGCAATAATTAACCAAGCATCACAAGTGTTACATTAAGTTAAAAGAATAATTGAGAGCCATGATTTTTTCTGACAAAAAGGCGAGTGCACCCCTAGGGAGATGGATGTGATGGGAAAGAGAATGTTGGACTGGTTTAAGGCCCAGCAAGACCAAGACTACAGAGACCATCACCCAGACAGCGAGAAACACAAAGAGAAGGAAAAGAAGCACAAGAAAGGTGGAAAGAAACACAAGAATGGAGGAAAGAGGCACAAGAGGAGTGTCAAGAAGGAATTGGGTCAAGAAGGTAAGAGGAGGTTTAAATGCTAAATTATAGATGTTTTTTGATCATAACTTTTATTGACAGTGGTCTCAAGTAATATTTGTAGCAATTCTTATCTATGTTCGTATATTGCAAATCCGTAAGTGTTCATATATTAATGAGTGAGATAACATGTTAGTGAAAGACATTAAAAAATAAGTCATACATAGTAAACACTTGTACAGTTTATATGGTAAAATAAATACATCAAAATGGAAAGTATTTTAATGTTATCTTGAAATTGTGTTTATAAATAATAAAGTTGATCTTGACTATGTCTGCACAGGTGATTGCACTTGCATTGGTCCAGTGGGGTACGTGTTCCAGAAGATGGACAAGGATGAGGACACCTACTTGACCACAGCTGAACTGAATGATGTAGAGAACAATGGCTATGAACATTGCATGAAGCCATTCCTGGAAAAATGTGACACCAACAAGGACACTAAACTATCTGACAAGGAATGGTGTTGTTGTTTTGCTCATGTGGGTAAGTGAAATTCCTTAGTTTTCACACCCTAACTTAAAACATCAAGTTAAGGTCTGGAAATCTTTCTGTCAAATTAATGATACAAATTTTCTTTAGCCAGTTTTTGTTGTTTTTAGCCATGCTTTTAACAACCTTGTCCTTTGGAGGAGTGTCAAGTGTTGACTATACATTTTATAAAAATGCCCCAAGATTTCGAGTCGAAATGAGTTATTTTATTGAAAAAACATTGTCAGTTTTTTATTGATATTGCAGAAAGTTTTGTTAATGTAGAATTGGAGCTGATACTTATAAGGTGAAAACATATTCTTATTTTCTTGTAATTGTTTTCTTTTAGTCCCACCTTGTTTTGAAGCACTGAAGAAAACTCCGGCCACTCTTCTAGGAGGACAACCACAGTTGATGCCAGGTATGATTTTGTGCTCTAAAAACAAAGCATTTTCTGTAATGAAAATTTCTATTTATTATGTAACAGTGCGTGTTTGGGGGGGGGGGGGGGGAGTAAGAAAATGTGATTGCGAGGGGTATGTATATTTAATTTGTGCATCATTTATACCTAACATATTTTACAAACTTGAAGAAAGCTCAAGTTGAAGATCAGTACAAGAAATTCAGATTTGATTCTGTGTCTATTGTAGTTTCCCTTTAATTTATGATAGATATATAACCATCTTTGTTATGCTGTCAGGTGGATTTCTGCCACAGTGTGATGAAGATGGGTTTTTCAAGGCACAGCAGTGTCATGGCAGTACTGGGGAGTGTTGGTGTGTGGACCAGCATGGCAGAGAAATAGGGAACACTCGCAAGAGGGGAGAGGCCAAATGTGGTAAGTGATACTGGACCCTCTCTGTTAAGCTACTACCCCAAGTTATATTATCTTGTGGTTTAACCTACTTGGCAAGAATTACTGTTCAAGAATTATAAGAATCTGTTTCTTCCATGGAAATGAACTGAATGAAAATATTTTCACTTGGGGTGAGAATATTTCCTTTTTGCAATGTGCAAGTTGATAATTTCATTGGATAATATTTTTTGTACCTTAAAGTTTTTTTTTCATTAAAAGGCATATCCATTTAAGATTTGCTTATATTATCATGTACAAGATTCAACAGATTTATGAAATGACCTATTTTTTTTTTCAGACTAAGCATTTAGAAGAACCATATCAGATGTCTTTTTACCAGCACAGCTTCCAATCATAAGGGTATTAAGGACAGTGAATTAAGCATTATAGGAGAGATCTCTAGCATGACATCCTATCTCTGTTATTGCTGATGATGATACAATTATGCAAGAATGTACTTAATTATTAAAAGGACGTCTATGAAAACCTAGCTTGCACTTTTTGGTAAATGTTGATTTTTTACATGTATCAAGCAGTTCAAAACATTTTTTATGTGCAGATGTCATGTATGTTAGAGAAATAGATGCATACGAAGAACTATTTGTAATACTTCATGTAGATATCTGAGATATGCTTGTGATTTAAAGCAGAGTAATTGTGATTTAAATTTTTATGCTGAACTTTACATATAGAGCTTGCTTTTACAAAGTTTTATGAATATTATTATCGCTTGCCAAGTGTACCCACCTAGTAATAGCATACATTTTGTGCTTTTGAATAAGAATTTGAGATCTGACTCATGAATTTAAAGTAACATGTTGCATTTATTTTCAAAAATATATATATAATAGATTTACCAAGGCCTATCATAAGAAAAAGTAGAGTTATTTATAATATTCCAAAATTTTTGATTTCTACATTGGGTATTTTTTATCTTTTTTGGCTTTATTACATGCAGTTGAAGAAAATTCCTCCTGACCTAAAAGGTACCTCTTTGATGAAAATCGATGATATTACCAGAAGAGCCATGTAACATACTTTTGAATTTACTATTTCAACACAATATAGACCTAATTTCTCCAGCACCATTGTAAGCAAGTTACGATTTTTAATTCCACAACGGTTGTGAAATTTGTTTGCATTTGTTAGGTCACAAGGCTTCTGTTCTATACAGTAAGAGAATGTTTCTTTTATCGTGAGTTGTCTTGAAGAACCATTTTTCAGATAGAATTTTACAAATAAAAGATGTTTAACCTTATTCTGAAGTAGGGAACTCATTTTAAGATACAGAAGCAATAAAATGGTTTGAAAATACCTTGTGTGTTCTTCAAATAAACTACTTTGGGGTAATTATGTTGGCACTGTATCTAAATTAGAACAAACTTGTTTAAATTGGAATAGGCTAATTGCAACTTTTTTAGTCGGTACTCGCCGAGCAGTGTTCCGGCGGAACAGCAATTTTGCTGTGGCTTGTCTTGGCACGACATCTATTGTCAATATTACAAAACCCAAACAAAATAGAACGTCGAGGTTGAAGTTCGTGTTGCATCTGCATAATTTTTGCGTTGGGTCCTTGTCAAGTTATTAGAGTTTTGAAAAGTAGCACTACAAACGAGAACCCACACAGACTAAAGGTAGGGAGACGCCTCAAATGTTTTACTTTGTAATTAACCCTCTAATTGTATCAGAGTTTGCCTCGTTGCTTCTCAAGTTCTGACAGTGCTCGTCTCGTTCTTAGACCTACCCTGGCTCGATTTTTTAAATCTGTTCACAAAAAAAACAGATGCGTTTGTTTTAGCGTTTGCTACTCTGGATATTCTCATGCTGCACTAATGATATGTTGTTTGAACGTTAAGTTCATATGGAAACATGACGCACATATTTAATCTATGTGCATTATAACAAATTCAGTGCGCACGATAAACCAAATGAGGAGTGTTGATTGACAAACGCTCGGGCGAGCACGCACGCACGCACGCACTCACACACACACAAACACATACACACACACACATACTTATTAAACATCAGAGCTTGTCATAAATTGAAATTGCAGAGCAGATTGCATTTGGTCTCATAGACATTATCTATTCATGTTAGGTTGTCAGCAATCCCTGCATATGTGTTATTGCCCTCGTTACCCTGCATCATGGCATATTATAATCATTATCACTGAAGTTATACTATCTTCTTTGAAAAAATCCCAATGTATTAACTTCTTTGTCTGCATATCTTGCAAAACTACTTGTTTTTTCAGATTAATTAATATCTTCAAAAAGATAAATCCCCTCAAATAAACTTACCCTTTATTGATATATTGAATTCCTTCTGAAATGTGGAGGAAGTTACAATGAGCTAAGTGACTGGACAGTCATTAAGGCCACATTCAAAACAGCAGGCCTAACTAGTCTGCTGATCAATATGGTGACCAACTTAAAAGCTTGCTGACTAATCCTGCATGAATAGTTCCCTGCGGAGATCATGCACCAAGCATTCAAGTGGGTCAGCCATATTTGATCTGCAGACTAATTATTACTCCACTGCTGAGAATGCAACTGCAGAAATAAATGATTTAATTAGAATTGGTATATATGTTAAAAATTATCTCCAAGGTCAGGATCAGTGATTTGTGAGTAGGAAAAAAATTGATTTTTTTTTCGAGGAAAATTTGATTTGACAGGAAAATTTTGAATAGGATACCTTAAACAGATCCTCAAGCAATTCAGACTACTACCGATTGCAACTAGTGAATTTTTTTGAACAAAAGACATTTTAGTTTTAACATCACTATATATATATATATATATAGTACAGTGTAGATGTCTGATTATATTGAGAATGCAATTCCGGAGGTATGGCTGGTTTATTTGGGATTACAGAAGAGTTTCGAGGAAAATTTGATTTGACAGGAAAATTTTGAATAGGATACCTTAGACAGATCCTCAAGCAATTCAGACTACTACCGATTGCAACTAGTGAATTTTTTTGAACAAAAGACATTTTAGTTTTAACATCACTATATATATATATATATAGTACAGTGTAGATGTCTGATTATATTGAGAATGCAATTCCGGAGGTATGGCTGGTTTATTTGGGATTACAGAAGAGTTATTGCAACGAAGCTGTTTTATTGCCAACGGTAGATTGAAGTTTTAATGTTATATTGTAAAATTGGGTCTAAACTGACCTCTGAACATAGCACCTCCCATACCCTCACAGGTTATAGTCTCTCTTTCTTTCTCTTTCTCTCTCTCTCATACACACACACACACACACACACACACACACACACACACACTGTTATTGAAATAAAACTAAGTTTTCTAAAGGGCTCAGGGAATGTAACTGTAGATTTTTCTTATCTGCTGCTACTCCTGTGGCATCCTTTCAAGGAACAACATTGTTTTTGCATTCCTGCTGGTTTTAGATCAATCAGTGTTTAAAAATAACCCTCCTCCAAGAGAAATGAGCTGCACAGAGGTTTGGATAATGTGAACATGCCATGATATACATGTACCTTAGAACTACACAGATAGTATAACATAACACTCATCAATGTGAACTTAGCTCGATCAGAAATTTCTAAAAAAGGAAAAACTTGAATATTGGTCAATGGATAATGAAAATAAGTAATTAAAGTGAATTTTGAACCCAGTGCATGGAAGAGCTTCAAATAAGATGAACAAAGTAATCAAATCTTTTTGATAGAAAATTAGGCTTTTGACATTGTTTCAGTACAGGTATTTTCCGGTCAGACTCAATTTAAGTTACAGTAAGCTTTATTCTAAATTCTAAATATTGCACTCAGTGACTTAGACATGATGACCGAAGAACTCTTTCTACTTCAATTTGCCATCAAGTTTTGTGTCCCTGTGGTGTGATCTTGGTCTAGGGCTAGTAGATTGCTAGACAACTTGCTGTTTTTTGTTGTAATTGATTTTAGCTCCCTCAGTTTCCACCAAAGGATAGCAATTAGAGTAATTGTTTTTTTTGAAACCCATGAATACCTTGAAGAAATGATGATATGAGAAAGCATTGGTCAGGCATCTTGCAATTAGTACAGACTTCAGTTGACCCATTATAAAGTACAGATATTTTGCTGTAATGTCAGTTTACATTACCAATGATATCCACTGTTACAATGTTCAGCAGTTGTTATTCTGTAACATACATGTATGCTACATGTAGAAGAGCAAATATGTAAAATCAATTCTTAATGTATGTTTATTAACCACATCATATGGCCCTCTTTGGAACCATAAAATCTAGATTACGTTCTTCATGATTGGCTGGGTAAACTTCAATTAAGCCCACTGCAAGATGTGAGGGTCCAATTATAATTAAGTGAGAAAATTTGAAGGTTGAGAGATGAAGAAGCCTGCATGCTTGAAAGTCTCCAATTTTTAGTTAAAAATAATGAGATCCCAACTTAAAGGGATGACAGCTGTTCGTATAAGATCCAAATGTTACAATAAAAAGATTGTAAAAAAACTCATAGAAATATAATTAACTCCATTTTACCACCAAGAAAGCAGTTATCACAGTAATTCTGGAATCTGTACTTGCCTCTATCAGACCTTTGAATGTAGGAATAGATTTATTAACCATTAGCAACTGGCCTGTATATAAGGGGGTTCGAACAAACTGCCCTTCTTGCTGGGAAAAGGTCTGCTCGGGATAAAATTTAATAAAGGTACATGGAGGTTTCATGGTATAAGGTCCACTTTTTCAGAAAAAAAGCCCCCCCCCCAATCCCCTTGGAAGTTGCTGGCTAAGGGCCTGGGCAAGTATAGGAAAACTGCTCTTCACCCCAGGGAAATCCTTTTTCAGGCCTACCCAACTACCAGACTCGGCACATAAGGATCCTGAATTAACAGGTATATCGGACCACACTACCCGTTTTCAAGGTGTGTGTCAGATTGCATTTTGGAGTATCAGTCAGAACACCGACAGGATAAGCCCGCGGTCGTCCTACAAAATTTGTTGTGGGGTATGATACTCCGAAATGCAATCTGACACACATCTTGAAAACGGGTAGTGTGGTCCGATATACCGGTTAATTCAGGATCCATATGTGCCGAATTTGGTAGTTGGGTAGGCCTGTTTTTTGTTTGTCCAAAACCAGCAGTTATTATCCCTTTAATTTCACCTCTGGTTGGTCTGTGGATTTTTTTGTATGTGACAACTCAGTACTGGCATATGACAACTTTTTTAATCATCAATAATAATTTTTTTGTTTGCATGTATATTAATATTATAATAATTTGTGTTATATACTAGTGAAAATGTATTTTCTTAAACCATTTATATTTTTCTACAAATTTCAGAGGTGAATAAGACTTATTTGCTCCAAATAAAATAGTATTAAACTGAAATTTTATTAGATTACATTGCTGGTTAACAAAACACAGCCATTACATTTTCCATTTTTAATCTGCATGCCTTCCTGTTCTTAATGAGACAGACCTATTTATAACATTGAGATTGATCAGTGAAAGATTGTAGTGATGAGTCACATCTTACTGCATGGAGGCGATCACTTCAGAAGGTGCTGCAAAATGGTTTGTTAGTGATTCAGTGGTTTACTAGTGGTACTTTTGCCTTTGTCAGAGCATTGGGGCACCAAGTTTTATAATGCCCATTAAGAATCAAGATGATGAAACAAGTGCGGTGGAGGCACAAGTGGCTGTTTAATGGCGTCAGGGCGACTCCCTACTCATTATTTCGCATCATAAATGGGATTGCGGCTAAGGTCGCAATCTTGTATTAAGAATAGTTTTAGAGATAACCTTATGATCTATTCAGGTAAGAGGTACAGGCAACTCTGTGCATTTATACTTATGGTCCCTGCTTTTTTACAGTCCATTTCCCTTGTTTGATGCTAATTCTATTGTAGACCATTCTGTCTTTCACAGTGCAATAAAAAATAGTTATACACATAGTTTGAGAACAGTGTTGATTGGCCTATAGAGTTATTCATTTATTCTCTGGTTTGAAAAAATTCCAAGCACGTTTTTGTTCAATAGTATATATGTTTTGTGTGAAAATATGTCTGATAGCTCACAAAACAACTTGCATATATAATGGTATTTGTACTTGCTTATCATGTTACTATTATCATGCAAAAACAACCCTTTTATATATTCTTTTTATTTATTCTTTTAAGATATCTGCAAATGATGGGCAGTTTAATGGTATGAGAAGTACCTGCAGAAGGAGTTAGTCTTCTCTAGAAGAGATTTAAGATTTTGATATTTTCCAATGACTGGCACCACAATAGGTAAGTCTGAAGTAAATAAATTGTGGTATATACCAGTTGGCACACACGTAATCATTTACAAAACATTCATCAGTTTGCATCTCATATAAACATAGGGGTCTGCAGTTTCATTTCGTGGTGGAATATAATTCTCACTGGTAGGTATATTGTATATATTATCAGAATAAAATGTAGCTTGCTGCTGACATTTAAAGGCCATACACATTTCAGTAAGACAAGAAACGTGTGCTATTTGATCATTTCTCAGAGCTCCTAGAATTAATAATTGCCCAGAGATGTAGAATTGTACCCTTGTATGGTGTTCCAGTCCATTAAGTTCCAAGGCTTCAGTATTGCAAGAAGGGTAGATTTTATTGGAATGCTAATTTTACAGAAAGCTCATTTCATATCATATTTATCTAGGCAGGTAATGTGTCCCTGTCTCCTTTTCTATGGATTTATCTATTGCAGGAAATTGCTTGAAGATGACTTGACATCAGTCGAAGCAGAATGGGAGCTGAGGAAAGTCGACTGACTTCAATGTCAGATGTTGCTGGAGGACATGGCAGTGTTTCGAGGTGCCGCAGCTCATCTACCCAGTCATATTTCAGTTTGCACGAAGACACAAAACCGTGGACCTTGCTTCATCAGTGCACTTTGCAAGAATGGAAAGGTGGACATGCAGGCAAGTATTCCCCCCTCTCCATTTACAACCAACAACTGCAGCCATTACATGATGCCAAATTATAGTGGAAGTACATGCATGTGCTGGGCAGAGGAGAGTCACAATAAATCAATATTTAAAAAATCACTATGATAAATAAGGAAAATAAGTAAAAGTATGTGACATCTGTGACAGTTAAAGGCTAGACCACTCATTACGATTGGATATTGTAATTCAAATAATATATATTAAAGTAAACATGGCCACATGCCTGAGGTACCATCAACATTCTGTGCGAATGCATGTTATAATGTACTGTACTTGTGATGACAAATTAATAGCTAAATACTAGTAATCACATCATGTAAGAATTGTAGAAATTGCAGAAAGGGTGTCATTTTTTCTGAGAAATTACAACAATGAAGTATTGGTTATAACCTACATGTACCTGTATATGTTTGAAGCCATGTTGCTACAATACTACTGGGACTGTAATGATTGGACAAGCAGATTTTCTTTCAATAATGCATGGATTGACCTGCAAACTTCACGAAAAGAAATTCATCTCGGGGGAGGTTTAATATCATTCTCCTCACCACTGTAACATTAAGGTTACCCAGTCAAATGATTAAGTTATCCATGCAGTGTGTGATGGAAAAATATTTAGGGCAAAACAGGTTTCTAAGTGGAAGGAAAAAAAAATGGATAATGACTGACAAATGGAATGTACCAACAGAAATGAAGAACACTTATGCTGCCTATAAGGGGAATGCACTGCCATAATCTAAGAATTAAGCAAAACTGGCAAATAAATATAAAATAAAAAATACCAACCGCGACAACCAATATAAAAGAAAAAACAAAACAAAATACTATAAAAACAAGATTTTCCCCCAAGAATTATGTTATGTTTTACTACAAGCCAACAAATGAACCAACAAATACTGAATAAACCAACAAATACTAATAATTGAAATGCACAAGCAATTTGTGAAAGAACATGGTTTTGCCAAGTAGAGAGAAACAGAAAGCATGAGTTGGCAGCAAGTAGGTTTTACAAATTGGGTTTTGATGGGTAGGATGGGAGTTAATGATGATATGGCTGCTCAGCATCTTACACAATTTCCTCTCCATCTAATTTACTTTTAATCATGAACACACAATTGAGGCTTGCCTGTCTTTAAATTGAAGCTGTGCAATTGTGAGTGCATGCGTGAGTGTGCATGTGTGTATGTGTCTTATTATAATTGTAAGACAAAACAAAAATAACAGCATTTAATTTTCCCCAACCAGACAGGAGCACACACACACACACACACACACACACACACACACACACACACACACACACACACACACACACACGCGCGCGCGCGCGCGCGCGCGCGCGCTTCAACCATCAACATAGCTGAGGTCATTAAAAGATGCAAAATGTCCTTATATTAGGCATTCTCTGAGGACTTGAAATGTGAATGATGACATAAAGGATGTATGGCCCTATAGAATCTAATAATCTTGAGTCACAACAAATGACATCCAGTAAGAGAAAATTGATGTACCATGTGAATGGAAAAATTAATTTTGCAGGCAAGGCAGACTGAACATGCAGCAAAAAGTTCGCTTTTGTTTTGAGGATAAAAGATGATTGAAAAAATAAGCAAGTTGTTTTGGCAGCCTATAGCATTATTTTTGTGGATAATCTTTATATTGCATGTAATGTTTTCTTAAATAACAACCTCAAAAGAAAGGGGGGGGGAGGGAAGACCAAACGCCTTCCTTCTTTGCTAAAAGAAAAAAAACCATGCAGAAAGATCATCAGTGTGTTAATATTTTTTTCATTTCATGGTCCACCTAGTATTACTTGCTGTAGACTGGGCATTTTATTGATAGCTTAATGCCAAATAAGGGAGTGGAAAAATTAATTTTGTAGATTCAATATGGAGATTTAATGTGGAGATTCTTGTGTTAAATTACCACATGATAATGCAATAGTTCCATGGAATTAAAGTAATGAACTTACAAGAGGAATATTGATGGGAAAAAAACAATGATACAGTATGCACTCCAGTCATGTAGACTTATTGTGTCTTACAGGTAATTTTTGTGATATGATATTGTCTGCTCTTTTGCAAATGAGTCTCAGTTCAATTTGCCTATTAGATTATAGATTAATCTGATTTTCAGTGAATCCACTGCAAGACAGCAACTTACTTGTATTTCACAAATACCGGTAGATCATTTTCATGAATCTTGGGAAATGGTTCTTTGCTTCTTAAAGGACACGGTTCTTAATTGATTAGATGACAATGCATTATTCACTGTACTGATTTTTAAACTCTCTCTCTCTCTCATGCACACACACGCACATCTTTCATGTACTTGTACTGCATATATGCTAATATATTGTAAATTAACACTTCTTTTTCATTTTCTCCATATCTCACTCAACTACATCATTTAGAAGGCATGTGCAAGTTACCTGGCAAACTCACAAGCTAGGTAGCACACATATCAGCTTGTTTTTTGTACATTTTACCTAATGTCTTGTGCATTACCTCACCATTTTGTTGCCTTTTTCTGCTCTGCATTCTGTTGTAGAGAAGCATACAAGTTGACCCCAAGATCTTATATCAGGGGCCTCTTGTAAGTACACATTGATCTAGACAGCTAGCAATAGATATCTGTTAAAATAGTAAATATATACCACGGAGTATCTATTCATCTGCACTGCTGAAATGTCAAAAATCTCATGTGGGCTTTATTTTTTTTCTCATGTTTTATAAACAACCAGCTGAGACTGTTTTAAGGGTCTATTTTTTCTTTAATTACCATATGCACCTTTTCTTATAAGAGAGATGTAATGAAGTGAACCATTGGCAGGCCTTATAAATGGATTAGGCATTTACTAACAATACCCAAAGATCTTTAAGTCATATGTTGGGAAATTGTCAGTCTGACCAGTCATGTCTGCCTGAAAAGCCAGAGGATGGGCAAGATTTTTGAGAATACAGGTCCTGTGGATCAGCAAGGTTTATTTGGAATTACAGTACATAACAATTAGAAAAAATTAGGAGAACCTGCAGATTTCTTGTAGTGCAGGTCCTCTGGACCTTCAGTTCCTCCAAAGTTTTCCCCACATCTGCTTTAGGTACTAACACCCATATTAATCACATAACCCACAAATTAACCAACACACCGTAAAAGTATTTACCACTGCCAGAGCAGATGAATGTTAGTGCTAGGAATTGCTCTGGTAGTGGTAATGTCAATGTTTTGCCAAGATTTTAAGATTCTGATTGACATTAAACATGCTAACATAAGTTATTAACAGTTTTAACATGAAAATGGTTTGTGAACAGTTGGGTGATTTGCAGTATGATTCTTTCACAATTGACTGACACACTTCGGGCTGTATGACTTAAATGCTACTTCTGAATTAGATTTCTGGTTTAAATTTGGTCACTTAAAAGCCTGCAGTTTCATAAGTTTTTTTTTTTTTTTGTCATATTTTTTCATTTTATTTTTTTCTAAGAAATGATGTCTTAGAAAAATGGACATCCAGACTTCAGAGTCATTTGGAGAATGCCCTATATCAGCTTTTGAAACATGGAATAGCAATTCCAGCCATAGATTTTGAAAAGTGCAGTTTAATTATTTTAGTTAATAAATTATATTTTGTGCAAGGAAAGATGAGCTCTTATTTTGTTTTGTTAGGATTTTTTTTTCAGATATTTGTTTTCACTTTTTCTCATGAGTTCTCTTATGGTTTTAGATGCAGCAGGCTTCAAGGAGAAGGTCTTGGCATGTGAAGGTGCTCTCCACAAAGATTGTAGCCATGCTTTTTGCATCAACCGCCAAGGTATCATCAACATCAACAAATCCTCACACATCTTCAGTTTCAGAAAAAGGAGCAAATTTACCAAGATGGCAGAGCACTTTGAATACAATCATATCCCAGCTCAGCTGTCCTCTATACAGAATTTCCACGTTAGAAGTGTCTTGTGTTTTCAAGGGCGAATTGTGGTGTTACATCTAGTTAGGAATATGGGAACTCAATTTGGTGTAATTGACTTAAAGACCAACAAATTTCTTGGTGTTTTTGGTAAACACACTGTGGAATTTGTAAACGAATCCCTTCGAGGGTCTATTAGTCCAGATGGCACCAAGTGCTTGGTAAAAACCCCTCTACCACCAAGTTCAGTCAGGGGGCCAGCTAGCTATGTCTTACGGTTATACAATCTGAAAGGAAATGGGTTCCCCATGATATATGAAGTACAGCTACAGTGCAGAGACTCTCACTTCAGTTTTGATCCCAGGTTTCACTGGAATCGCATTGCAGTGACCAACTTTGAGCAAGGGACAGACAACAGCCTGAGCCTTGTACATCTCGCCAGCAATAATCCATGGGAGATTATTGCAACCAATCACAAAGCAGATGACACAAGGCCTTCACTTTATCCTAACCTGAGAGAACTTTTGTACACACCAGATGGCTCACTCATTGTTACAATGATGACAGAAACCATTTGCAATTGCCAAGAATTGAAAAGAACCCGTTTTCGTAATTGTCAGCCAATTATGTGCAGTATATTTGTTTTTGATGCCAATACCACAGATCCGCTTCATTGTGTTCAGTATCATCGCTACACATGCAGTCAACATATGTGCCCCTCTAATTTCATGCCGGTGTTCTCGGGGTGCGCAAGCAGAATGGCAATGGCAATGAATATCCCAGATCAACATGCAATAACTTATGTCCAGGTTTATAACTTGCCAAAGCCCTTAAACCTTCAGAGCCTGTGCCGTACTGTGATCTTGCAGTGTTTTGCAGAAGATGAAGTACTCCAGCTGCCACTTCCACAGCGACTGATTCAGTTTTTGCAGTTTTATCCAGAGTATTGAGTCAAATATATGGACAAATGGAGACTTCCTTAGAAGTAGAAAATAAATTAAAATAATTGGATTTCAAATGCTTTGAAATTTGTTTAAAAATGAATTTAACCTGCCCCATGTCATATATATTACAAAGAGATATTATTATCTGCACAAGCATTGAAAACTATTTTTTGATTTGTAAAATTGTACACTACTGTAAATTGTACTGACCAGTTTAGTGGTTACTGGATCATTTGTCAGTATTGCTCAGAATTCCATTAGAATGTACAAACATTTTCATCAACAGAGGAATTGAAATTTTGAACAACATCTCTTACTGGGAAATGCACTTCTCTGAGTGCTGTATGGGATGTATCTGGAACAGTCAACAAACTTAACTTGGGAATTTTATAACTTAAAAATTATCCTCAATGATTTGGTAAAATATCACTCTCAGAGTCTGTACCATTGCATGGTATTGTAACTCTGTAGGGTCTGTAGCTTGTGTGTCATACCTGTGACATTTTACTTCTGTACAGTAAAAGGTTTCAGAAGGAATTAATTTGTAGAAACTGGAGTTAAATGGAAAGTTTATAATATTGTTTACATACCTTGGATAAAGTTAATTGATTTTGAATTAATTAAAGAGGATTCATTTTGGTGCTAAACAATTTTTTAAAATTTCATCTATTTGTTGCAATTTAATTAGTATTATTAACAAGTCAATTCCATTTTACTTATAACACACACAGGTGAAAGCGTTTTATTATGTCCTTTTAAGATTAAAATGTGAGAGTTAAGTTAGTGAAGGTACAAATGCTAACTTAGTTTATTATTGTGCCAATGATCCATAAGTATTTCACCCACAGGGTGCCTGAAGATAGTTGAACGAGATCATGATAAATCCTGCAATTAGTATAGGCCTAAAGGCTAACACAAGATGGTCCTTATACATCTCTACTGAAGGTTTTGATGCTTAAAAAAGTTAAAAGGATTATTGTCTCAGTATTTAAGTTATTGCTTATGACTTTTCACTAATAAAGTGATCAGGAGAGAATGAGGACCAATTAAATGTTTTTGAAAAAAAGCAGCCATAGCATGTATCTTGGATCCATCTTATGTATGATGGGTCTACCAGTATATAAGCTTACACATATATTATCACAGAAAGGTGTATTGTTGTCAAAGGCATGCTAAAGAACTTTTGTTGTCTTGAAATTATTAAGAATTACTCTGAATTATTTTTGAATAGATATATGTTGCAAAATATTAAGGTTTAAGAAACTTAAAAAAATCTGAATTAAGTGATATAAAAGTGTTGTGTTTCAACTCTAGTTTAATTTGTGCATGTAATAATCCTTAATGACATCGGAAATATATTGATGCAGGTCACGTTGTAAAACAAGTTATGTTTGCTTCACAGAGACAAACATTTCAAAAAATTTTTACGGATAATATCATTTAAAACATACAAACTTTAAACAGGTTGATGTTGTATCACTTAATTATTCTAACTAAATGATAAAAAATGAGACTGTTATGAGATAATGGACATAACTGAAAAATGAGCAGGAAATCAAAGCGTACCTTAGGAGGAATTTCTGACATTAAATTTGTCTTCATTTTTGAACTTGCTTTATAGTCTGCATACCTGAAAAGGTCTTCTGCATTGCAGAGTGGATGTATGTTACAATAGGAGATCATGTGTACTTTTAAATATGAATAAGTATTCTAAAAACGTTCTGTAAAATAACTCTAATGAGGGTTTAACTGCTTAGTATTCTTCATTTGCCACACAATAAATAGTACCCAGCAGTACAAAATGCTTTCTTATTTTTTAATCATTCACAATTTTTCTTTGTTTGATAATTATATTTTTGACAACACATAGCCAGAAGTAATTTTATGTAACAATGCCTATTTCAATTGTGTTGTGTGCACACCAACAAAATACAAAATATCATATTTATCTCCTTCTTGGGAGTTCAATCCCCTTGAAGGAGGTACTGAGTATTACCTGTGTAACAATTATATGCTACAGTACGTACTTAGATCTACCGGTACTAGTACCGCATGAATTCCGTAGACTACATGTAACGGACATTGTGAAAAATAATGATCAAAATCGATTAAGTATAATAATATTTACTGCCCAAAATTCTGTGCCAAACTCTGCGTGGTCCGAATCAAACCTCGTGCAGTCTACCCTACGCCCACCACTAGTTTTTTCCCGGATGTAATTAGAGCGGAAGTGATGTAATGGGAAATTCTCCACAGACGAGAGGCCATTTCTACAAGATGAAACATGCGATTGAAAGCGTTCTAATAATTGTGATAGTTTTTATGCAGTTATCAGAGGTAAGTCGGTTAGGGTTATTCTTGAGTTTAATTTTGTAACATTGTAAGTGTTCAAACCACTGACAAGCTGTTTCTATAAAAATAAACAACTTTTTTTAACGGCGCGAGACCCATTTTGAGACACTTAGTATGAATCTCCCGCTGTTTTCCAAATGCAAAGTTTTAAAACTTTATTTGATGAGATCAAACGTATATATATATATTTACGAAATCTTTCTGTCACATTAGCACAATATTATCTTTTAAACTTCAGACAATGAGTTGTTGCTATAGGTCTAGACATATTCAGGTTTTAGTGACACTGTTAGCAATTTTTTTCTGTACCTCATTTTCAATCACGAGTCAAATGTAGGCCAACTGAACGATAACAAGGGGATAACAGAAAACGGTTGTGTCCGACGAGCGATCACAAGCGTTCACAGGCACAGAATAGAAGGAAGACCAACAATTTAACACAAAATAATTAATGAAATCAGCTAATAAATAAATACTAAGTCTATGAAGGTTCATATAGTGACTGAATTAATTATACAGATATAAACAGAGTAAAGCAGAAAAAAAGCTTTTATTTTGGGCGATGGGGGCTGCCTTGCATGTGGACACAGACATGACCTTTTTCCAGAGAAACACATAATTCCATGTATGTTTTGTAACTCGATTCTGATGGGCGGCCAGTCAGGTGTTTGGTCCCATGATAATGTTCAGTTTTTTTTTTTTTCCTTTTTTCTCCTTTAAAGGAGACAAATCATGCACCCCTGGCGACAGAGCAAATAATCAAAAACAATATTTTAATGTTCACCAATAATGGCATCATTATAACAGACAAAAAATGAATAACAGCAAGTGTTATTATAAAATACAAACAAAACCCATCGCATAATAAATATCTGTTTAATTGTTAATTTTTCAACGTTTTGTTCTTGTGGAGGATCATTGATGATTGTGGATGCTTGTTGGGGCTTGTGACACGGGGGCGTCTCGATAGTCCGAAGGTTCATTGGTCCGAAGGTTCATTGGTCCGAAAAGTGGTAACATTTTCATCGATTTTTTAATCAAGGGTTCATTGGTCCGAAGGTTCTATAGTGAATATTTGGACCAATGAACCTTCGGACTATTGAACCTTCGGACTATTGCTACGGCCCCTGTGACACAACTACATTCCCCCTGTTATGGTCCAATAGGCCTGCATATGAGAATAGTATATGCTGTTTTCCAACTTGTAATACATTATTATGTCAAATGTATATGTTTTAATTGACTTCTCAACCATTCTATACATGTGGGAGTTTATTGTCGTTTGTGGACCCAAAAAGTTGCCCAACTTGATTTTTATCTCATATAGTTACTCAGTGCACTCGGTAGGATTTTTCTAAGGGAGTACCGTACCCCTTGCCCAAAAAAAGAAGGGGTAATTTTCAAAATGAAGGGGTAAAATTAAAAAATGCTCATCAAGGTGTAATTTTGTGTATTAATAATGGGGGCGTCTCGATAGTCCGAAGGTTCGTTGGTCCGAAGGTTCATTGGTCCGAAAAGTGGTAACATTTTTATCGATTTTTTAATCAAGGGTTCATTGGTCCGAAGGTTCTACAGCGAACATTCGGACCAATGAACCTTCGGACTATTGAACCTTCGGACTATCGCTACGGCCCCTTAATAATCATGCAATCACACAGTTCACTTTCATAACAATAACCCACTATCCTTTTATCCAAAATCTTTTATTATTGCAATTTAACAAAAAGAAAACAAAAACAAAATGGACAGGTCGCGCATAGGTCACGACTAGATACTGTGTTTCTTTGACTAGAGTAAAAGTAACTGGTGCTACCTAGTAAATGTAACAAAAGGAAAACATTCCTCTTTTGGC